GAAAGTCTCTTATCAGATCAGAGAGGCAAAAAGGAAGAAATTGGGGACCAAATGCAATTTAAATTTTTAATGAAACCATTTCAGAATTGATTTGTTGGAGCCCGGCATAAATACAACAATAGTATTAATTTAAAAATGTACAAAGCTAATCCCAGCATCTATCATCCTCTTTCTTTACCAGAAGCTGGTGCAACTAATTTTTTGGGGGCATATACAGAGTTGCTGGAGTGTATGCATTGGGGGGGGGGAGGGGGAAATCAAGACAAAAATGAAATGGACTTCATTTCCTTGACATTTAAATGTAATTAAAAATAGCATAGTCCATGTGATTACTCTCCAGTCATGCATTTAATAACTTCCCCCTTCTGTCTCATTCACATTTACGATTTGGGATCTGCCACTGGAGAGGTCTGGAGACTATGATCAAGGTTTTTAGGGGCCACAGGAAGCATTGAGGATTTAGGCCATGCACCTTGGATTTACATGGGACCCCAAAGATGCTCTTAGAAAACACAAATGGAGGGTGTGGTTAGCAGAGAGCTTCATTTGGAAGTATGCCCATCTGCCTGGAGAAAAATGAAAACAGTTGGTGGGGCATATTCTGAAAGGCTAGAGAGACTGGCAGTTAGCACTTTCCCGTGATGGTTGGTCTTCAGGTAATTTAATGTTTTGTGGCTGGCCACAATTACCATGTTTAGGTGAGCTCTACCAAAAGTAATCTATCTTGAGAGGATACAGGATGCACTCTCCAAAATCCTCTTGGGCCCAGTGGCTCCCCAAAATTTCATATCCCTGCTTTAAATGGACAAATACTGGAGGAACAGGAGTTGATGGAGCTTTGTGCAATTCAGCTGTAATGATACATGGGAACAACTTTGGGAGACCAGGTAAAGGGATGCTGCCTAGGGAACCATCTGATAAGAGGGAGCATAGCCCGCAGCTGCATAATGGGTGGAGCAAGAGGCTCAGAAGAGATTGTCTCTAATTTCTTAGGGGTAAAGGAGACAGTGGGAGAATTGTACTTTCAGACTTGCAAGATTCTGTTAATGTAGCCATACCATAAAGTAGAATTAGCTCATCTACTTGTGTTTCCTGTCTGGTTTACCTGGAAGGGCTGACACAAGCCAACTCACTGCTCGGTTTATCTACTTTCTCCATCCACAGTCTCATTACCGCCCCTTCTACGTCAACAAGGGCAATGGGGTCACCTCCAATGAAGCACCCTGAGGAAGATGGTTGGGGAAGAGGAAGACATGCCAACAATAATGTCTGTGGATATTCCTGTTATTGTACTGATCTAAATTGTTCTAATTCTTTTTTTGTTTTAAGTGGGGGGTGGGTGCTCTAGAGGAAAGGTATAGCATTGTATGTCTCATTCTGGGAGAAAATGGGTCCCACCATGCTCTTTCCAATCCATGCTTTGCAGCCTCTGAGAACTAAATTCACCCCAAGTAGATCTCAGTTCATTAATGCATTCCCTTTTCCTGATGTAACTGCTTCGCTCTTACTAATTCCTCACTAGTGTTTACACATAGTATTCCCAAGATATATTTGGTTTAAGCAAACAAGCTGCTGCTTAGAACTGTGACTTCAGCTGCCGACTTCTACCTGCAGCTCTAACCACTGTTGACATCAGTGGGGGCTCTTGTTTGGTCGATACTGTTCCAAAGCCATCTGCTTGAACATAGCAATCAAAGAAGTCCACAAAATATTAACCAGTTCCCTCTGGCCACTAGCCAGGTGGTGGTTATGAACCTATAGCTAAAAGGCTCTGTGAGTTGCCCATCATCAGAATTTCTCTCCCTCCTGCCGGTTGTTCAAATTACAGAAGAAAAGGGAGAAAAAATCCATCTTGCTAATAGAAGATTGATTAGATGTCTTAGCTCTGCTCTGCTCCACAGATGATACTGGCTGATATGCTTTGGTTCAGTTGTTCTGTTTACATTTGAGGAGAATTATTTTTAAAAGTGTGTGCACCCAGGTGTATCTACTCCTCTTTAGTTTCCTCCTCATTGGAAACTGAGAATCAGGGCCAAGGGTGAGGTAGAAGCCTGTGCAATGTTCCAGATAAAAGGAATGTGTTAGAGTTGCCAGGGGAACCACATTGCCCCATCCCCAAACTGGTACCTAAACTTCAGCATCTCCTACAAGACTGCAAGAATCTCACCTGTCTCCAACTCTGGGAGAGCTGGAGATGGTCGGATCCATCAGGAATTCCTTCCAAGGAAGAACCTTTTAAGAAGGAAGCAGGGTTGAGAAATGAATTTTATGTTGGTTTTCATTCTAGACTGTTATTTTTTCTTCTTTCATAGTAGTCCTCCTTGTCCATTCCAATGTACACAGTAGATGTGAACACCTCCATCGGCACCCTTTGATGGGATACTGATCAGGATAAGGGGGAACTGTTTTATGACTTGTAGGGACATCCCTTCCCCATATAAACATACATGTCCATGTCCTTCCCCTTCCCTCCCTTCCTTGTTGGGCTCTGCTGCAGAAGAATGATGCGGGCACCCCCAGCTTCTTTGTTTCTTGAAGGTGCATCTAAGTAGGGAAAAAGGAAATGGTGGCAGGATTGGCTCTCTGTTAAATTTCTTCTAAAAAGAGTCATGGCAATGGATTGGGGGGGGGGGGGGCCTTGATAACTAATTCTTTCTCAACCAGTCTTCCTACTGCCAAAGAGCAGCTCCTGCCAATGAATGAAGCCAATTTAAAATGTTATGATCACCCGGATTTCTTTTTGCTTGTATGACAAAATGGACAAAGAGAACGTCAGGACTACAAAGCTATACACTCACCTAGGACTCAATAGGCCTTATTTGTGAGTAAACGCACACCAAGCCTCGCACTGTAATATCTATTTGCATTATTGAAATGCAGGTAAGATCAGAATTTTGATGGTTGTTCTGTCCTTTCTGAAAGCTTGCAGACGTTTGCAGAATTCATTTTTCCCTGGCCATTTTTGATGATCTTGCTTAAGCATGGTGGATTAGCCTGCTAGAGAGTCGAACCCTTGAGAGGTCACCGCTATCCAGCAGTTAGGTTCTTTCAAAGCTTACCTTTTTTTTTTTTTTTTATTAAAAAACCCTCACAAAAATATATGTTTTTAAAATGACCCCTTCCAAATTAAAATTAAAAGGAAAGTGTTTTGTAATTCAGGGATAATTAGAGGAAAAGATGGGCGGAAAAGAAACGCACACGTCCCAAAAGGAATTCTAACGTGATTGCGAAATGAATTTTTAGGGTCAGCTGGTCACCCAAAGTGAAAATATTTTGCAGACTTTTTTTTTTTTTTTTTTTTTTTTTCCCACGTTTGAATATTGGAAAAATGGAATAATTGTGTGTACATGTTCTTCCTTCATAAATTCTGAGTCTTGATTTATCCTGATTCTGAAAGCCGGAATCTGCTGATCATAATGGTAAAAACAAGCTGATCTAAAGCCTGCGCAATGAGTAATATTAATCTCACTATTTCTAATCAGATAGCCTTGTGGCTTTAGGATTAGAGGTGAAGAACAAGGCTTTCAGCAAAAATTGCATTCCGGATCCTGCCTTTCCCTTACTGCAAACATAGACAAGGTCCCTAACCCACTTTTAAAACTGGATCCACTCCTAAAAACATTGATTTGTATTCTTTCCAGCTGAGGGAGGAGTGTTGTGATATTCCATTTCCTGAACATGGTCACATTTAGAAACTTTTCTCAAGTTTAAAAAATAGGTTCAAAACACCGACAGTAGCAGTTTGATGCCAGTTTGCCTTAACGAAGTTTTGATCAAGAAAAATGTTTAGTTAAAAGTATTCTGGAAAATAAAACGTTGAAATGATCAAGAAACCAATTTTTCATGTGTTTTTCTTATTATTTTTGCTGGATGTTAAATTGTACCAAATTCCATTCACGTGCTAACATTAAGTGCCTTGATGATGCAGGTAAGGGAATAGCAGACAAGTCATTTTACTAGCAATTTTCATTAATATTTTTAATTCCGTGCTTTTTTTTTCCCCTGGAAAAAAGAGGCAGAAACACAGATAAAGATGTGTGTGTGTGTGGTTATGCATGTGTGTAGGGGGGACAGAAAGATTGGTGAGCTCTGCTGAGGCTTGAAGGGCAGGGACCCCTTATTGTAGAAATAGAACAGCCCATCCAAGGTTATAGAGAACTTCCAGATGTACCATCAATATCATTGGTAGATTATGACAAGCCTAGATAACTTTTTTTTTTTTAAAGCACACATATATTGCTTTGGAACCAGCATTGCCAACTGTTTAGTTAGCCCCTGCTGCTGTGCCTTTTAACAAGAGGTCCAACAAGCAGATCAGTTTCAGAGAATACCATTTATTGTTAAGTCGTGAAAAGGCTCAGCTGTTGTTTTCTGGAAACAAAGCTGGTCGAAAGGATGGGGGGGGGGACGGCCATTTTCTCCCCATGATGAGTTGGACTACTCTACCAAGCAGCCAATGTGGAAATGAAGGGGAGGTGGGAGATTTGATAGCTCAAAGGTTATGAAAATAAAGATGGAAGAGAAGAAAGCAAAGGAGGGATGACGTCAGGGTGGGTGGGGGGAAAAAAGTCAACATGGTGGCCATGATTGCATGATCACCACCTCACCACTTTTTACGTGTGCTGCAAATGGACGTAAATATAAAAGTGATGCACGTAAAAAAGGGGTGGGCCTTTGATCATGCAATCATGGCCACCATGTTGACTTTTTGGATGTCCTCCTGTGGACATCCCTGGATGGTGTGAGATGGAGAGTTTTCCTGTGTTCCCTGCAACACTTTTCTGGTGATCCTTGACTTCCTGCGATGGCTCTGGTGCTTCTTTTGGTTAGCCCTCTAATTCCTTCAAATATTTATCCTGTTAGCTCTTGCTAAATCCAGACAGGATTATTTAAAACAACAACAACACCGAAGACTTTAAAAATGCAACAGTTTTTATAATGGGTGGGGCCTACAAACTTGCCTCTCCACGTTAAGACTTCTCTTGCAGACAAAGAGACTGGAAGCCTAACCTTCACCCTGGGAAGCTGCTGAGCTGAAATTGCTGCAAAATATGCCCCCTCCCAAAAACCCTGCTGCTTGGGTTATCACTCAAAACCCCCAAAGCCAGGAACCCAGGATGACACGGCTTGTGGGATGTAAGGCTTCAAACTCTTCCTCCCAAAAGATGGCTGGACTCCTGACAGCCTTTATTTATTTATGATCTACCTGCTTCTTGGGGAGAAAAAAAAATCTATCGATTTGAACTCTTTCCTATAATGATCAGAAGGCTCCGAATCATGATCCACGAGGTGGAATGAGGGGAAGTTGTTCACCTGCAAATGGCCATATATTTTCTCTTACTCATCTGGTGCAGGCTCTTTCCTAACCACTCTACCCTCTGCCTCCATTACTGTTATTACAGTGATTAAAAAGCAATCAAAGAAAATCTCCTCCTTTTCCTTAAGTGATGGACATGGAGGCAGCAGCTGACTCAAAAGCTTAAGAAACAAATGAGAGCCATTAATAGAAGTTAGGATAGGCATGAATACGAACGCCCAAGATTTCAGACAGTTTTACACAGGTTTTGTATCAGATCAATTCTCTTCCCTGTGCAAGATTTTTAACCCTCTCTTGTCTTGCTTTCCAAGATGCCTTTCCAGATTAGGCCATAGCACGTCTTGCTATCCTCTGTATCCCCAACATTTTGCTGAAGACGGATGACTTTTTGGAGCAGGGTGATTGACATTTACATATTGACTTGATTTGGGAAATGTGTGCAGCTGGAAATGATTAGCTGCTTTATGCATCAAAAAGCCATCCTCCAAAATGCTCTTCTGCTCAGAATGTGTACGTCCGCAAGGAGCTCTGGGGCATGTGATGTTCCACCGTAGTGCTCAGTATGGGATTTCAGGTCCCCTGGGACTTGATTTTCTAGGGTTCCTAGCAGAAGAGATACCATGAATGTGCTCTGAAGCATCATCTGCAGCTAGTTTGGCTGGCTTTAAAAGAGAATTGGATGTCGTTCTCTGATGGCTGTTAGAGTACGGTGGCAGAACTTCCACCTTCAGGGGCAGTCTGTCATTGAATATCAGCTCAAACGGGCATGCCAGTGATCTGGGTTCCACAACCTGCTTCTCAGGCATAAATAGCATGGCTGGTATTGTGAGAAGCTTGACCGGACCAAGCCATACACACCCCTCATTTCCCATTTGCTCCATGGATCCTGTCTGGCCTGCAAGGTCAACGG